TTGTTCTTTATCTCATGTCGTTGAGATGATGTCTACAGCTATCTCCCCATTATCCCTGTTTAACATAAAGAGGTTGCCTTTCTTGCAAAGGTAAAACCCGTTATATGCACAAGGTTTTTTCCCCCCATATTGTCTTCTGAAGCAGATTGCTGTCTCTGTTTCTATTCCTTCTCAATAATTTTCAGCCACTTACTTCCTGTGTACTGGCTACAGACATGCTTATGTCTCCCTATTCTCAAAAAACCCTCATTTGATTCATCTATCCCCACTAGCTATATATATCCTATATCTCTCCTTCCTTTTGTAGTCAAACTATTTGAGAAGGCTGTCTATGGTAGATGCCTCCATTTCTTTTCCTCTCACTTAGTTCTTAACTCTATAGTCTGGCTTCCTACTTTGAATCAGCTGAAACTGTTCTCTACAGAGTTAGTAATGATCTCTTAATTGCCAAATCTTATGGCCTTTTCTTTATCCTCATCCTTCTTGACCTCTTGTACTTTTTACATTATTACCCTCTTTTCTTTGAAACTTCTCTCTAGGCTTTTCTGGCACTGCTCTTTCCCTGTTTCTTCTCCTACTTGTAAGACTACACCTTCTCAGTTTCCCTTGCTGGTTCCCCATCCATCTCCATCTCACAGTGGGTATCACCCACAGCTCTGTCCTGGGCCCTTCCCTCTCTACTTTTTATCTTGGTGATCACATCAGCTCCCCTGGATTTAACTATCATCTCTGTGTAGCTGATTCTCCTGATGTATTTGTACATGTCTACCCTCTCTTTGGATCTTTCAGTCTTAGGTCTCCAACTGCCTGTAGAACTGGATGTCCCACAGACATCTTAAATTCAGCATGTCCAAAACTGAACTCATCTTTTCCCCCCAAACCCTTCTTGCTTCTTAACTTCCTTATTACTGTCAAGGGTACTACCACCCTCCTCCCAGGCTGACAGCCAAGGTGTCATCTTTCAGCTTTTCCTCTCTTCTCCTCCCCTGCCCCCCCAATATCTTATCAGTTGTCAACTCATGTTATTTCTGCCTTTGCAGCATCTCTTCTCTATGCCCTCTTCTCTCCTCTGACATTGCTGCCAGACTGGCCCTCATCACCTCATGCCTACTGTAAGAGTTTTCTTATTGATCTTCCTGCCTCCAGTCTCTTCTTATTCCAGTCCATCCTTTTCTCTGCTTTCCGGTTAATCTTCCTGACACATAGATTTGACTCTGTTGCTGTTCCTCTGTCTTCAGTAAGCTCCCCATTAGTGTCTCTCTATCAGCCCCAGCATAAAACATAACATCCTCTGTTTAGCTTTTATAGCCCTTCATAACCTGGTTGCTTCCTATGTTTTCAGCCTTTTTACATTTTAGTCTTCTCTCTTATAACTTACTGTGTGATCCAGTAATACTGGAATCCTTGCTGTCCCTTGAACTTGACGCTATCTCTGACTCTGAATGTTTTCATTGGCTCTCCCAGTTCACCTCTTTTCCTTCCAATCTAAGCTATAGTTTCACCGTCTGCAAGAAGCTTTTCCCAGTCTCTCTTGATCTACATGCCTTCCCTCTGAAATTACCCTCCAGTTTATTCAGTATCTATCTTAGCAGTACATCGTCATTTGCATGTTGTCTCCCCTATTAGACTGTTACCTCCCTGTGAGCAGGTACTGTTTTTTGCCTGTTTTTGTATCCCTAGCGCTTGGCATAGTGCCTGACACATAGTAAGCCCTTTATAAATGTTGATATGACTTCTCCCCTAGCCCCTACTTTTAGCAAACCATCTATTTTAAAATTTTTTTAAAGCTTAAAAAGTTTAGCCAGACCAGCTAATCAACCCATTGCCTGTATCTGACAACCTACGAAACATTCTATTCTCATGTAGTGTTACCTCTCCAACAAGATGAAGGAGGTGCCTTTTCTCACTTTTTCCTTTGGACCAAACTTTGGTCATTACAATTACACAGCCGGGGTGGCTGGGTGGCGCAGTGGATACCAGAGACTGGTCCTGGAGTCAAGAGGACCTGAATTCAAATCCAACATCAGACACTTGACACTAGCTGTGTGACCCTGGGCTAAGTCACTTAACCCTGATTGCCTCCCCCCCCGAGAAATAATTATACAAGCTGTTTAAAATACATAAATCTAAATGGTTCCCTAAAGGTGTTTTATTTAAAATTAGCGTGTATCTACAAGGCAAGTAAGGATCAAATATCAATTTTTTTGAAAAACCATTTTAAAATCTCTTAGTCTTGTTTATACTTTTATTTTAAGGCTAATAATTTGTTTTACAATATCTTGCCTTTTTTAGTACTTATTCATATAAGCATGAAGATCTTTTAAAATTTCACAGGAAGGCTTTAGGATGACTTAACTTCATATAGTTGCTACTGTAATCTAGACTTTTACTGAAGCTGATGAATTATTATTACCATTTTATAATGGAATATGAAAAGAACATGAATTTGCTAATTTACGCTCTTGCTTCCCAAACATTTTTGTTATTGTTGAGTTGTTTCAGTCATGTCCAACTCTTTGTAACCCAGTTTGGGGTTTTCTTGGCAAAGATACTGTAGTGGTTTGCCATTTCCTTCTCCAGCGCATTTTATATATGAGAAAACTGAGGCAGGCAGGGTTAAGTGACTTGCCCAAGGTCACACAGCTAGGAAGTGTCCAAGGCCACATTTGAACTAAGGAAGAGAAGTCTTCCTGACTTTCAGGTCCAGAGCTCTATCCGCTATGGCACCTAGCTGCCCTTTCCTAGACATTATCTAGTGATAATAGGTATTGTCTCCAAAACGTATAACAATAATTTGTAACACTTTGAAGACTTTTTTTATTGTTGGTAGTAGTGTTACTTAGTCATTTTAGTTACGTCAGATTCTTTTTTTTTTTTTAAAGGCAATTAGAGTTAAGTGACTTGCCCAGGGTCACACAGCTAGTAAGTGTCAAGTGTTTGGTCTGAGGCTGGATTTGAACTCAGGTCCTCCTGACTTCAGGGCCAGTGCTCTATCCGCTGCGCCACCTAGCTGCCCCCAAGACTTTTTTTTTTTTAAGTGAAGGATAATAAATATAGTTCTGGTTAATTACAGTAGTTCTTGACCCAAATTCATTAGTTTTTATCACTTCATGTGGTCTCATTATCACCAGGAAATCTTTTATAATAAAAATGCTGTTCTCTCACAGCAGTATTATATTTTTAAATATTTGAGAGTTTTAAATCAATGATTATGCAAAAAAGACTGAGACTTATTTTCACAGTAACCAGTAAAATCTTTTTTTCTTCTATTAATCTCACCAGATGTCTAGGGAATGTGAGGTAGAATTTTAATTACTAAAAATTGATTGAACTCAAGATTTTTATTTTGCTTATAAGGACTGTTCTAGGTGTTTGTTTAATAAACATTAAATGCCTAATGTATTTGATGTATTTGATGAGTTGTAGTAGGCAAATACTACTTGATTTTATCTAGCACTGTAAAGTTTACAAAATGCTTTCCTTGCAACCTCATAGTTGCTAGTCCAGCAAGTCTGTTTTTGTTTTACTGAGGGACCAATCTGGCAGTGATATGTAGGGTGGTCTTGGTGGGAGGAGACTTTGGATTGGGATTGCTGGTAGAGGGGCAAAATAAAGACCTTCATTGGGTGGTGATACAGTAGAAATGGAAAAGAGGGTTTGGATGTGAGATAGTTCAGCCTAAAATCAAAAGAAAAGGCAGTCAAAGGTCACTCAAGTTACAAGTTTGGGTTACTGAGAGAATACTCAGGAAGGAGAGGCAGTATTTATATAGAAAAGGTAAGTTCAGGATTTATCTAGAAGGGTAAGTTCTGATTTTAGAGCTATCAAGCTCGAAATGAATTGTATGGAGGGAGTGACATTCAAGTGGAAATTGCAATTGTGAAATTTGGTGCTGGAAAGGACCTTGCTGTTCATCTAGTCCAGATGCCCAGGTTGTGGCAGGGGGAGAGGAAGGGGGAGGGGTGACTGGTAGAAGATGACACAGAAAGTAAGCAGGTAGAGGAGGCACCTGAATTTGGGGGTGATTTCAAATCTACTGTTGTTTAAACCTTGGGAATAAATGAGATCAGCAAGGGAGAACATAGAGAAGATGAAAGGGCCAAGAATGGGGCCTTAAGAAATGAATGCCTATATTATGAGGGAGAAAGAAGAGGCAAAAGAAAGACCAGTCAGAAAATTAAGATGAGAACCAGGACAATGTGGCATTAGGGGGGCCAGTGGAGTATAGATGGTCAAGTAATAGAGGATAGTCGGCAGTCTCAGTGCTTGGGACATTCGAGGTTTAGGTTTTCTCATAGTTTCCATTAGTCTCATTATTATTCAGAACTGCCCCTATCATAATTTTCAAATTTATTTCTTGAAATAATTGTCAAAAAACAAAACAAAAACAAAAAACACAAGAAATGATCGTCCAGTGGTGGCATGGTGTCTAGCATTCTAGACTAGGAGTCAGGAAGAACTTAGTTTGAATCGTGCCTTAGATATCTACTTAGCTATGTGACCTTAGGCAAATTACTTAACATCTCTTGACCTTCAGTTTCCTCTTCTGTAAAGTGGAATTAACTATAGTATCTACCTCACAAGATAGTTGTGATTATCAAATAGATAATATAAGTACAGTAGAGTCCTTTGCAAACTCTAAAGTAATGTACACTAGCTATAATTACTATTCTTTTCATGGATTTTTGAAGCTTTCTGCTTTTTCTCCATTTTAAATTTTAGCGAATGATTTTATTTTTCCATTTAGTCCAGGCTGTCAAATACAATTTTAACCTCTTTGCCAGGACAGTCCAAAAGAAAATCTGTACTTCAGTTGTGTAGTAGTTTTGTGTTGTAGACATGAGAGGTGTTTGTTTCTATAGCTTCCCAGCTGATAGAAGTCCTGGATGATATTCTTCTTCCTTTTTTTTTTTTAACATTCTTTACTAATATTTAAAAATTTGCTGGCTACAACTTTTCTGTTTTTTCCTTTTATTTCATATGCTATTTCTCTTGCCTAGGTTTATTGACGGGTGTTGTTGTGGACTCTGGTGATGGTGTAACTCATATATGTCCAGTATATGAAGGCTTTTCTCTTCCTCACCTTACCAGAAGACTGGATATTGCTGGGAGGGATATTACCAGGTACCTTATCAAGGTAAGCTGCAGGGGAAAAGTCATATTAAACATTTTCTGGTTTGTCTTCATGACATTGCACTATGTTAGATTTACCTTAGAACTAATCTTCTAATTCTAGGGAATATAAAAAAAAAATCTCTCAACTTCAATCTACAGAAGACATAATGGAAAGAACCCTTCTTTATAAATTAGCCTCCCAGTAACATTTCCCCCAACAATTTTTAAAACAAGTGAATGGGGTTTATGTAATCCAGGTGTTCCCAGTGAATTTTTTTAGGATTCAGGGCCTAATTATTTAAGTTCTACTCTATTTAATCCTTTTTCCTGTTACAAATCACTTGAATATATTTAAGGATGTTTTTGCTGTCTTTCACCCATTAAATTTATAACTTTTTAGGATTCCTGTAGTTTTTTCAACAACTGATAAAAATAATATCCTTTCTTTATTGAATTGAACTGGGCCTTGGAAGAAGAGAACTTAACCACGTATGGGAGTTGGCATCCTAAAAGCCAGAAGACAGAGAGGGTCAAATGAGGCAAAAAAAAAGGCAGGGGAAGGGTAGAGTTGTCTAGTTCAGCTGCTGTGTAAAGTCTATGCAAAGGGAAGTCCTATGAAATGTGACTAGAAAGATAGGTTAACTCCAGATAATGAGAGGCATTGAATGCTAGACTAAGAAGTTTGTGTTTTAATCAGTAGGTAATGATAAACTACTAAAGATTTTTTTCAGTATGAGAGTTTTGTGACCCAAGGTATATGGTGGGAAATATGTTAAGGATCAGATAGAGAACATTCGGGGGTACCAATGGTAAATGCATATGGAATTTGGAATCAATACCCAAGTTTAAGTCTCTGATGTATTCTGATTAATTCTTTGTGACCTAGGGAAAGTCACTTAATCTCAGAGCCTCTTTCGACATTTGTTAAAATGGGGATAATACTTGGACTAATGGTTTTTATGAAGTTATATAAGTATGACCTAATAGGCTCAGAGAAGAGATGATGATGGCTTCAACTAGGTTGGTAGAAGTAGGAATGGAAAGCACAGGATGGGATGTAATAGATTTCAGAGGCAGAATTAGGCTGTAGCTGCCTGTTGTAGGGAGGAGGACAGTGGAGAGGTGAGTGAGAGGGAAAAGAAAATGGCAAGTGGGGAAGTTAGGTGAAAGTATACGTTTTGGAAAAAATTAATGAATTCAATTTTGGGTATATTGAGTTTAAGGTATTAAAGGGGGGGGCAGGTACCTAGAAAACAGTTGGACATGTAAAACGAGAGCAGATGGTAGAGGTCAGGATACAGATTTTGGAAGTATACCTGAATAATGGTGATAATTGACATGATAGCAATGAATGAGATTGCCAAGCAAAAGAGTATGAAAGAATAAGAGGGCTGAGGACAATCTTGATTAAAATCTCCACTTTAGTGGTTAGGAGAAGGAAAGGAAACAAGGAAAAGGCCCTGAGATGTTAGGGTAGGGCAACCAAAAGTGCAATAACACGGAAGGGGACAGATAGTATTGAAGTGGGGGGAGGGAAGGAGGAAGAAAACAATGTCACATGCAGCAGAGAGGGCTGAAGATGGAGAAGAAGCCACTGGAAATTTTCATTGACCTTGAAGAGAGGAGTTTCATTGTAGTGATAGAGAAGAAAGCCATATTGGAGGAGATGGAGCATCAGTAGTATGCATGAGTATGTAACATGGGTTGTACACTGAGTGTATACAAGTCATGCTAGAAGTTGGGCTGTAAAAGGTTGAGAAGTGAGTATGAGAGTCGAGGGAAGGGTTACTTGGGGAGGTGGTGGTTAATTTTTGGTTAGGAGAAATTGAGGCTGAGATGGAGGGGGTGAGATGATCAGTGGAACAGTGCTGAAGAGGAGTTGGCAAAGATTGATTGAAGACATAAGATAGATGGAAATCTTCCAAATCAGAAACTTTGTTCACTACTAGCATGTGCAGAAAAAGGCTGAACATAAAGGCTACCAAGTCAGTCTTCCATAGTTGATTGTTGGCTTAAGTAGCCATCCCTTAATCTTTGAGCTAGAATTTACTACATACATCTTGGTTGGCCTGATTGAGTATGTTTGATCTTCCCTTCTAATCCTTCCTATGTACCACTGACTATTGAATCCCTGTTTAATAGGGATTGTGATACTTGTATTTCCTATTTTATAGCATTGTGGTGAAGAAAAGTCCTTTTTAAACATTAAAATAGTATGTAAATGCAAATTGGTGGTTCACTCTACTACCCAGTGCTTGCTAATCATGGGTAGTGGGGATCTTTGGAGGATTTTCATAGCAGATGGGGTGGTGACACAGAACATTTCTCACATGTAAATTTTTGTTTAATATAAGAATATCAAGTAAGAGAAAAAACCACATTGTATCCTTTTCATATTTTTAATATTCAAAGGTGTAAATTTCATTGTGTTGGGGTAATTTTTTCTACTCATTAAGATCACAATTCCTCCATGCCTTGCAGTATAGACTCCTTAATGAGTCTTGGGTTTGGATGAGTTGATTATCTGAAGACCTGCTGTCTAATGATGAGATAACCCCTTTAATAAATATAACTTAATATATTTCTGTGAATGCATGTCTTTCAAATCCGTATCTTTGATCAAATGGTTTTCACAGAATTTCTTCCTTTTTTATTTCGTGGACAAATTCCATAAGAGAGAGGTTTGAGTTGAGTGATGGAGAGCAAAGTCAGATTGAAGGGGGATTGAGAAGTGAGTATAGACATGGCATATAGACATTGAAAGTATAGACAAAGTGAGTATAGATAAAGAAAGGTGAAAGGGAAGGAGTTGCTAGTATTTAATAAATCAGGTGTATATGAGGCAGCAAAGCAAAAAACACTGGATTTGAAATCAGAAGAACCCTGGATTTAAATTGTTACTGAGTGAGCCACTGAACCTTTTTGTGTCTGACTTTTACTCATCTGTAAAAGGAGGATAAATAATGGTGTCTCCCTCATTGAATGATTGTGAGGATCAAATAAAAATACAAATAAAGCACTTTGTAAACCTTAAAGTACTGTGTAAATGTTAACTATTGTGCAGAATTTAAGATCTAAAAATAAAAATGGCAGTGTTCATCCTCCCTTGTTTTCACATCAGCTGCTTCTGCTTCGAGGATATGCCTTCAACCATTCTGCTGATTTTGAAACTGTTCGCATGATTAAAGAAAAACTGTGCTATGTGGGGTACAATATCGAACAGGAGCAGAAACTGGCCCTAGAAACCACAGTATTAGTTGAATCTTACACGGTGAGTATGATGTGTCTAATTTCAGAAATTGCAAGATAAAATCAGTGTTTTTTCTTCATGACTGAGTTTCAGTCTGCATAGTCGGAAGAAAATAGTACACACATGGATAAGATTGCAGGTCATTTAATATAGTGGAGTGTAATTGCTTTACAGAAGTCATTTCCTGCTTCAAACCAAACATTTTTGTTCTTGTGTTAAGAACTATAAATAATCGTTTGGAGGGTTGGAGTGAGTTGTATCTGAAATTTCTTTCCATTTCTTAAGGTTTTATGATACTAATTATTTTATATTACCGTACAGCATAGACCAAAGCTGAAAATTCTGTATGCATTTGTTCTACCCTGTTCTACCTGTCCTTCATCTTCCCCAGAATCTGGGTATATGAAAGTTTGCTTTGATAATTCAATAGGTGGCATTCTCTTCTTTGAATCAGTGTTTAATTAATGAGATATTCATAAATCCTATCCAATAAATAAAATTAATATACTGGATAACATTTCTTTCCCTGTAACCCAGGTAACTTTTTACAAGACTTTAGTTGTTGACATAAGGAACAACATTTAGCCTTTAAGTTTATCTGGATAAGATGTCTTTTGTTTTCTTAACTTTATAAAAGAATTTTTTTTTTTTAGTAAAATCACATTTATTGAGGTCCTTCTGCAGCTCTTACCAAAGATGTGTTTAAAAACATTTCTAGATTCCTGGGGCAGTTAGGTGGCGCAGTGGATAGAGCACCGGCCCTGGAATCAGGAGGACCCGAGTTCAAAATCCAGCCTTAGACACATAATACTTCCTATCTGTGAGACCCTGGGCAAATCACTTAACCCCAATTGCCTCACTTGACAAAAAAACCAAAAAGAACCCATTTCTAGATTCCTAATCTTTTACTTTCCTTCATGATTGGTACTGGAGGAAAATAGAAGAGAGGTAATTGAACCCTAACAATAAGGGAACTGGAAACAGTGGTAATATGGCTACATCAAAGAGAAGAACAAAATGTTTCATAACGTTTGAGATGTTGTATACAGCCAAGACCTCCTCATGTTGAATATTTTTTCCTCAGGTCACTTGATCTGTTAAAAGCAAATTTTTCTGTTAACTCACTTGAGATATTTGAGGATAAAATGTATTGTAGTGTAATTTTTATTTTTAGAATTTAACATTTCACAACTCAGAAGTAGACAGTGCAGTCAGTTCTACTATAACATGAAATGTGTTCCTAAAAATCACTGTGCTATATAAAATTGTACAATAAAAGCCACAGGCTTTCTGAGGGAAGTGGAGTTAGGGAGATAACACTCAAAAAAGATAGGAACCTAATAAATCACTAGCACAATTTAAAACATTAAGTGCTTAAGAAATGTGTAGGTATTACAATAAATAGTGGCACTGCTTACCTTGACAAAAGGGCTATATGTTTGTGCTTGAGCATGTAGCTCCTCTTGCACCAGAGGATAAACAGTAAATACACCATTTTGCTTTGGAAAATACCATACGTTTGCTTGTGGAAATGAGCATCAGAAGGATTGCAGTTTGTGAGTTATTGTGAATTGGTACGGTTTTCTGTATTCTCAGTCTTTCTGACAGAATCCTAAACAAACTCAAAATTTATTTTATGCTCAGATTTTTCCCTCATTGAAACAAATTTGTGTTTTTAAAACAAGTGTTATAGCAGAACTGATTGTTAGATACTGAATAAAATTTGATTATTGTAGCCAACAGATGCAGTAGTTTTAGATGAGTTATTTCTATCATGGGAACTAATTATATAACAGAATCAATTGAGGAGGTGCTAAATATAATTAATATGTTAAAAATTTTAAAGCAACTGTGATTAAATACCATAATTAATTTTAGGATCTCATGAAGAAATACATCAAATGCCAACATACCAGTGCACATATTTGGCTTGTAATTTAGTCTGCTGAACAGTGTAGTGGTAGTATAGGAGAGGCAGTTTCCTTTCAGCATTGCACATTTAAATAAGTATAAACTTGGTATGACCCAAGTATTTGCTTTACAAAATCATATACCTAAAAAAGTTGATATAACACTAAATTTTTTAAGCTTATATTAAAGGTTTTAAAATTTTATATCTTAAATGGCAACCTTTTTTTTTTATGTGATATTCACTTCCAAATATATTTCCACCTGACAAGCTGTCCCCTTTTGGGAAGAAAAGAAGTGCAATGAAAACAAGCATATTAACTGTGACAGTGTTTGCGTTTCTCTATATGAGCTCTGACTAGCTGATAGTACTTGACCTAGACAGAATAAGAGTCCCTCAGCTCAACAAAGAGAGGAATGAACTGCATTTTCTCAACTTTTCTGGAAAATTTTAATTTAATGTTAACGTTTAAAGCAAAACTTATGAACATTGTCAGCTTATATAAAAAGTTGTAAAGTATAGCAAGTAGGTAAAATAGTATAATGGGTTAGAAAAAGTCTAGTAGTGTGAAAGAAAAGGATGTTCTGCTGTTGCTGAGCACTTAGCTTAGCCATAACTATTATCTAACTTCAGTTATCGAAACTAACTGAAGTTATCTAACTTTTTGTAAGTAATAAACCCTTTGCCTCCATTACCTTGTCTACAGAGTAAAAATCCATTTTTTATCCAAGTTTATGTATGCTCTCTTTAGATATGTAGAACAGTATTCTGAGAATGTATTTATTCACGGACATCACTATGCAGATAGACCCCAGATCCTTCCCACTCTCTGTGCTGAGCTCCAGGCCTGAGTCTTAGAATCAGTGCTTGAGCTTGAGAAGATCTTAGATATCATCTAGTCCAGTTCCCGTTTTATAGATGAAAACTGAGACCTAGGGCAATGAAGTGACTAGTTCAGGGTAACACAGATAGTAAGCATCAGAGGTAGGATTTGAACCTAGGTCTGATCAAGCTCCAGTCAGTGCTCTCGTACCCTGCTCACTGTACCGTGCTGTTAGACATCTGGACCTGGAGGTTCCATACGTATCCATAACTCACCCTATTCAAAATAGAATTGGAACTCATTATCTTCTCCCCCTAAACCCATACTTTTCTTTTCTTCAACCTCCACATCTCTGTTGAGGTCATTACCAGCATCTCTCCTTTGCCTTTTGGAGAAAATACACACTCTTTTGTTGTCACTTAAAACCTTTACAATCTGGCTTCAGCATATCTTTCCATGTTGACTACATAACACTCCCCATCTTGCGCTCTAAACTCAAGCCAGATTAGTTTAGTTATGCCTTTACACATACTGCACTCCCATACACTACACTCTACACTCAAGCCAGATTAGCTTAGTTATGCCTTTACACACGCTGCCCTCCCGTACATCAGATACTTTCACACCTCGCCACCTTTTGGGAGACCAAAACTTCCTTCAAGGCTTAGATCAAGTGCCACCTCTTTTAAAAGAATTGTTTTGATTTCCTCCAGTTGTTAATGCATGTATATATATACTTCTATCTGTGAATAGGCTTTATCCCCCCCCCCCAGTAGAGTAAAAGCTCTTTGAGGGCAGGAACTGTTTCATTTTTGTGTTTGCATCCTCGGTGCACATCTCCTGACCCGTAGTAAGAGCTTAATGAGTGCTTATTAATTGACTTGCATTTTATAAATGAGGGGAAAAGCTTATAGAGATTTGTATGACTTGCCCAGTCATTCAGGTGTTAAGTGGTAGAGCCTGTACTTGAACTTGTACATTGTTTTTTCTGCTAAAACACACTGCCTCTTTTCTAGTTGTATGCTTTTTTGGCCAGTATGGTCATAAATTGTTACTAAATATGTACTTGTACCCATCTTTAGCTCCCAGATGGCCGGATTATCAAAGTTGGCGGAGAGAGGTTTGAAGCACCTGAAGCTTTATTTCAACCTCATTTGATCAATGTGGAAGGAGTGGGTGTTGCTGAATTGCTTTTTAACACAATCCAGGCTGCTGATATTGACACCAGGTGGGTTAGGATGATTCGTGCTTTCGTGTAAGCTTTCAGAAATGGTATATTGTAAATAGTGGCTGAGCTGTCAATTGGCAAGGGTTAGTGTTTTTAAGTACAGGAAAGTAATTTCTGAAGGGTGTCAGTGAATTTCAGGCATAAAAATAGACCCGTTACGGTGGGTTGGAAGCCACTTTTTAAAGCATAGATTAGTTGACCATAATTTAAGGGATATGCACAATGAGTCATTTTTGGTAAAGTAACTGTGGAGCAGGGGGTAATAATGAGTATATATTAAAACAGAACGTTTATTTTAGGCTGGGTCTTGGCAAACAGCAAACCAAGTAGAAGACTGTCAGATGTCCCTCTAACTGACACTGTCTAATTACGGTCAATACTTTTGGTAGGGACATTTTTATCTCATAGTGGATATAATGCTGTGTTAAACTCCACATGGCTCATTTTTGTTTGTAGGATCCTAGTAGGGGTGGAAGGGCCTTCAGAGGCCTTCTCATCCAACCCCTGCTTTTTAAAAACATTCTGAACTGAACACACCAAACACATATTTCCATGTCGAATTGTGAATCTGTTTTGTAGAGCTTGCTTTTCCTTTTTAGCGTAGACTAAATTCAACATGTTGCTTTCAAAATTATCCTGCTCATTGTCTGTGATTCTTTTTGACCTTTTCTGTGTGTGTTTTTTTAAATGCTTCTGTGACTCTTTCTCTTGTAACTCTATCCCTAGCTTACATCTGCCCCTCCCCACACCTCACTCTTTGAAAAAAAGATACCCAAAACTCACAGGTGTGCTCAATTAAGGAAAATAAATCCCCACAATGGCCATGTCTGAAAACGTATGTCTTATTTTCTATTTTGAGTCCATCTGACTCCTCTGTCAGGAAGTGGGTTGCATATGTCATCATTGCTCCTCTAAAATTTCCAACTCTTTATTTTATAAGAAATTGAGGCCCAAGAAGGTTGTGATTTGTCTGGGGTCTTACATGGTAGTAAGTGTCAGGGAGGCTTTGAACCCAGCTCCTCTGATACCAGAGCCAGTCCTCTTTCCACTATACCATGTTGCCTCCTATTGTTTACCTATTTGGTTTTTTGTATTTTTAAGCATGTTTAGTATGTAAAGCATAATTCTTTACCCAAAGGAGTTTTACATTTGAGAGCAATATCACTTTCATCACACATAGAAAAACACCTAAATACTCAGTAGTCATGTGTGTATGTGTATATATGTGTGTGTGTGTGTGTGTGTGTGTGTGTGTGTGTGTGTGTGTGTGTGTGTGTGTGTAGTATATATGTATATATACTACTTCTGCATATATACACATATACATGTAATCCTCATAGCTCCCGATGCAAAATATCCACTCTTACCAGTACACAGAGTAACATACCACTTACTAGAGTTCATAATTTTGGCCCCATAACATAACTGAGAGGCTTGTTGTGCACTAGCAGCACCAATCAGTGTCTGTTAAGGTCTGTAACTAGTGGTGTTTTTCCATGCAGTATTCATGGAAAATAAAGGCTTTGCAGGATTATCTAGATGAAATCACATTAAAAGTGCACCAAGAATAATTCAGGTCAAGGCTGCATGATAGCCGCCGTGGAAAGAGCTTGGATCTGTAAGTATTTATGAAGCACTTACTGTGTTCTGGGCACTGAGCTGGAACCTGGATTTGAATTTCAGCTCTGCCACCTGTTAATTGGGGCAGACACAGGATGAAAATCCACCTCTTTCCCATGGATATGGTGGCATAGCTCCCATACTCCTACCAGTAACACTCCTGACCTGCATGTCCCTGCAAGAATGGGGTTGACGATGTTGTCCGGGTCCAGGGCAGGCAAGGATGGGAGACTGCTGGGTGGGTACCACCCAGAGCTCTTTACAGATGTTAAACTGAATGCATCGATTTCGTCGTCAGTAGAATGTACAGGAGAATGGGCACTGGCTTTGGAATCAGAAGACCCCTGTGCAGGTTCTAGCCCTTGTTGGTGACTTTCTCTCTGACCTGTGGGCGAAGCACTTCCCTTTAATTTCTTCAGCTGTGAAAGGATGGGATCAGATAATGACCTCTGAAGGCCCTTCCAGCTCTAAATTGTGATTTATAAGTTTACCTAATTAAGTTTACCTGTGTGTTCTCAGACAAGTCTTTTGACCTCTCAAGGCCTCAGTTTTCATTTCTATCAAAGGAGGGGAGGGGATGTGAATAGATGATCCCCAGCTTAAAGTTCCGTGATACTCTGCCTGAGAATACCAGATACATCAGTCACTGCAGTCCTCTAATCCAAAACTAATGCATTTTTGGCAGCACTGAAGAGAGCACTGAACTGGTGACAAGAAACCAGAGTTTTAGTCCCACTTGGATCACACTTTGGATAAATGATTTTACTTCTCTGTTCCTCTTCCTTCTCCCACTCCAACCCCCACCCTCTATCTATAAAATGAGGGGGTTGGAGGAATGGATGATTTCCTCTTGTCTTTTCGAACTCTTAAGTCTATTACTTAATTTATCTTCTCTCTAGATCTGAATTTTATAAGCACATTGTGCTTTCTGGAGGATCTACCATGTACCCTGGGCTGCCATCTCGCTTGGAACGTGAACTTAAACAACTTTACCTAGAACGAGTTTTAAAGGGAGATGTGGAAAAACTTTCGGTAAGTAGTGAGCAACACAGCTGAGGCTACTGTAGTTTTTGAATTCTAGGAAGTAATTAGGAATCCTGACAACCACTAGAGGGAGCTAAGAGCTCAGCCTTTCGGTGATATGGTCAATAGTACATCTTGGAGAGTGGAGTGACTTCTTTGTTGCATCTTCCAACCTAGGAGTGACCAGACAGGACCAAACCTTTCAGGTAGACTTCAAGGAATGTGCTAAAATCACCTGGTGACTCTGACAATGATCTTTTCTGGTTTTTTTATTCATAACCAATTCTCAGCTGAAATGACTAAATATTTCTTTCTGTGCTGTGCTTCTCTTAATTATTGATCACCCACTATATGTACTGGGTTAGACATTGGTAGCGGGGTAGGGGTAGAATAAACAAGATTTCTTTACTGTCCTTAAGACCTTTGTTATAATATTAGTGTTAAAAGTTTGTGTATTTCGGGGCAGTTAGGTGGCATAGTGGATAGAGCTCCAGCTTTGGAGTCAGGAGAACCTGAGTTCAAATCTGGCCTCAGACACGTAACACTTACTAGCTCTGTGACTCTGGGCAAGTCACTTAACCCCATTGCCTAGCCAAAAAAAAAAAGTTTGTATATTCATTTCCTCCCCCCTCCATTTCTGACTATTTGATCTCTTCTTCTCATTGATTACCCCCACACCTCCCCTCCCCCCCCATTTAAACTTGCATATCCTGAAATCAGCTCAGTTCCAAAAAACCCTCTGTTGACCTATGAATTTTTGAGGCAGCTAGGTGACAGACACTGGATAGATTGCAGGGTCTGGAGTCAGGAGGACCTGAGTTCAAATGTGGCCTCAGATGCTTATTAGCTGTATGACCCTGGACAAGTCATTTAACTTGTCTTTGTCTCAGTTTCCTGCACTGTAAAATGGGGCATACTACCTAATAGCACCTTGTTGTGAGGATCAAATGAGATTGTATTGGTAAAAAGTGCATAGTACAGTGCCTGACACTTAGTAAGTGCTATATAAATGCTTATTTCCTTTCCCTTCTTTCCCTTCTCTCCCTCCTCTTCTCCCTTCCCCCCAGTTGATGACATTATCCTCCTCCCAATTAACAGGCTTGAAAATCCTTAGTCACATTTGACTCTTCTCTCTCTCTTGTTCCCTATACCCAATTAATTGTAAAGTCCTGTGGAATTTCTTTTCATAGTATTGCTCACATCCATTGCCTTCTTACCCTTCCCACTGATACGACTCTAAGTGAGGCCTTCATTAATTCTTACCCCAAACTATTAGTTACAGTAACTTTACCACCAGTTTTCTGGCCTCTAGTCTTATCCACATAGAATCCATCATAGCTCTCATAGTTTCTAACGACTCTGATTGTATAATTCCCTTGGGGAAAACTACCTTTTTTGATCCCTCATTGTCTACTGAATAAAAACCAAATTCCTGAGCCTGGCATTTTACTCTATCTACAGTCTGATCTGGTGTGGCTTTGTGACTTTTATCCAGTCCCCTTCATGTACTCTGTGTTCCAGCCCAACTGGACTACATGATTTCCTCCAGCACTTTCAACATCTGCCTGTAATTTTGTTCTTATTTTTCTTTACTCTCTGTTCTCCTGCCCATCCTGTTTGTTAATGTTCTGTCCATTTTTCAAGGCCCACTTTAAATACTAGCCAGTCTTCTCTAATTTCTCCCTTGGTCAGAATTCAACATTTTCTTCTCTACTTTTAAAACATTGTGCTTATATCTCTCTTATTTACTTTTGTCTATTTTGTACCTTAGTTATTTGCATTTTTTTTCCTGTTGGATTAGAAGTTGTCTTTTTTTACAGGGCAAACAGGGTTGAATAACTTGCCCAGGGTCACACAGCTAGGACGTGTCAAGTATCTGAGGCCGCATTTGAACCTGGGTCCTCCTGACTCCAGGGCTGGTGTTCTATCCACTGCTCCATGTAGCTGCCCCCAAGTTGTCTCTGAGGACAAGAGATGTATTTTATCTCTATCTTTCTTCACTGCCTAGGATAGCACCTTACACATGTCAGACATTTAACGTTTAAATGAGGGAAGGGCACAAGCAGTCATTAAGTACCTGCGGTATGTCAGAAATGAGAACAAGAGATGTATTTTATCTCTATCTTTCTTCACTGCCTAGGATAGCACCTTACACATGTCAGACATTTAACGTTTAAATGAGGGAAGGGCACAAGCAGTCATTAAGTACCTGCAGTATGTCAGAAATGATGTAAGTGTTTTACAGGTGTTATTACATTTGATCCCCACAAGAACCCGAGGAAGTAAGTGCTTCTGTTATCCTCATTTTCCAGTTGAGGAAATTGATGTGCATAGAGGTGAAGTGACTTACCCAGGATCACCCAGCTAATAAGTACCTGAGGCTGGATTTGAACTCAGGTCTTCCTGACTCCAGGCCCAGCACTGTGTCCACTGCACCACCTAGCTGACATTGGGCAGATTACTTTGGGTCTCAGTTCCCTCATCTATAAAAATTATTTCTAAGGTTCTTTGCAGTTCTGAGTAAAGATTCCTAGGTCATAGGTCATAGGAGAAAATATGTTTAAGATCACCAAGCGAGAGTATAGGGTAGGGGTTCTTAACCAAGGGTCCATGAGCTTGTTTTTAAAATATGTTTGTAAGTATATCTCAATGTAATTGGCATCCTATGTAGTCGTTTTACATTAAAAACAACAACAGCATTCTGAGAAGGGGTCTATAGGTTTCATCAGACTTCCAGAGGGGTCCACGACATAAAAAATTCAAGAACCCTGATGTAAAGAAAAGATGAGGCCACACTCTCAGAATGTGCCTGCACTTAAAAGGCTAGGGAGAACAGGGGAAACCAGAGATATTGGAATAGTTAAAGAGACATGAAGAGAGAGCCAATATCGTGCATGATTGCTGACTGCCTAGAAACCCAGGAAGCAAGACTTCTAGAAGTGGGGATTGGGCCGCTATGTTCAGCATCACAGAGAGGTTAAAAAGCATGAGATCTAAGAAAAGGCAATAGGATATGGCTGTGAAATCATTCCTGTGTCATAGTCTCTACTGCACTATGTAGTACTTCATTATATATTATTTGTTGTCCAGTTATTTGATAATTTTTCTTTCCCCAACTAGACAGAAGGAAAAGGAACCTTTGAGGCCATCTTTTCCAACTCCTTTATTTTACAGATGAGGAAACTGAGGCCCAGAGAGACTTGCCCATACATACCGAAAATCACAGAATCAGGATTTGAGCCCAGGTCCTCTGACTGCAAACCCAGTGCTCCTTCTGACCATGCTGTTGCATTTTTGTATCTTTCATAGCCCCTAGTATAGTGCTGGGCTGATACTTAATAAATGCTTATTGATTTATTGTCTTGAAAAAAATTAATTGAACAGGAAGACCTGAGTTCAAATGTGAGCTTAGACACATAACACTCACTAGCTGTATGACCCTGGGCAAGTCACTTAACCCCAATTGTCTCATCCCCGCCCCCCCCCCCAAAATTAATTGAAGATACAATCTTAGAAGACTTCTTAGGTTAAGCTGTATATTCTAGAAACCCAGTTATTTTTGAAGTAGTCTCGCTGTATATATTGACTGTTATCTTTGAATTAAATGTTAGTGCTGGGGATACTTCCATTAAGATGGCCACATGAACAAAAACTCTGGTCACACCACCAAAGAGTATGTAGGGAAAACCCTTTAAAATACCCACTGAAAAGGAGACTCAGCAGGTGCCTGTTACATCTATCACCATTTGCTTCCCTGGTTCCACAGGGTAGGAAGGGATGGAGGATGAGCACTGATGTTGCTTGCTGCTCTCAGGCTGGTCTCTATTGGCCTATCAGGCACACCTGCCAGTTCTTTGAGTTCCTTAGATGATGCTCACTCGGGCCAGGTGGCATTATCTCATCTGGGAGAGCTAAGTACTCTTGTTATTTCTTTACTCATCTTGGGTATCCATTCCCTGTTATCCACTTTTGTTTTCTCACTTCATTCCTAGAATCATTCTTTGCAGAGAAAACAAAAAATAGGAGTCTAGTAGCTGTACATTCTCTTCCCTGTTGGTTATCCTTTCTATCCCTTTTCCCCAACATAACTTTATTTTTTAAAATATATTTTTATTTAGTATTTTATTTTTCCCCAGTTACATGTAAAATACTTTTTAACATTTATTTTGAAAACTTTGAGTTCCAAATTCTCTTCCTTCCTCCCTTCCCACCCCCTTTCGTTGAGAAGGCAAGCAGTATGCTATAGGTTATGTACAACATAACTTTAGAAACTAGTTTTGTTAACCATAGTTTTTCTCTTTCTCACTTTGAACTCATTCTCATCTTACACACTTTTAATACTGTTCTTAGGGGATTATACTGTGCTTTTGAATTCGTTCTCCATTACCTGTCTCTTGACATGTCTTTTTAGGTTCCCTGTGTAGCCTCATTAAGTCTGTGGACAACACCCCCTTTTCCTTATCCAGTTGTTTTTTTTCTTGTTATGTCTTTAGGATTTCCTTATTGAGTCCTTCCTGGGCTGACTCCCTATAGAGTTTTAAACCATAGGATCCTACCTAAATTCTTGTGAAATCTTTCTCCCCAAATCTAGTGTGCACAGCAGGCTCTGTGCAGCTTTCCTGTCTTCTTTCACACATTTTAAGGTGAAATGGTCATTGCCCTGTCCCCAAGGTTTTGATAGAAAGGTGATAGTGGATCTGGTGACAGACTTGGAGTCAGGAAGACCAAGGTTTGATTAGCCCTCTCCCCAAGGTTTTGATAGAAAGGTGACAGTGGATCTGGTGACAGACTTGGAGTCAGGAAGACCAAGGTTTGATTACTTCCTTTGATGCTTACTAGTTGTGTGATCTTGGGTTTTATTATTTAACTTCTCTCAGCCTTAGTTTCCTTATCTGTAAAATGGAGGTGGTAACTATAGCACTTCCCTCACCAGTGAAGATCAAATTAGATAATATATGCAAAGCATTTTAAAAGCCCTAAAGGGCTGTGTAAATATTAGCTATAATTATTTACAAAGTTCCTTTTTGTGTATGAGAATTAAGACCCAGAATAAGACTTTTTCCTTGTTGGTCCCTTCACTTGGAAGGATGAAACTATCATTAAAACATACCAAGAAAGGACTTGCTATTCTGTATTTGGCAGAACTCCAGTAGCTGTCCACATAATTCAAGTTCTCTGTCACTACTATATCATTTCTCTGTGCTACGCTTATAACCTATTTCTTAAACTCCACATATAATTCCTTTTTCTGTCCATTTGTCTTATAGCGTACTCCACAGATAAAATTGCTTTCATTTCTCTTTCTATTAATCTTCATCCAAATGTTCCTCACTATGTTCCTCCCTTCTGGTTCCTGGATTCCTGCACATGAACAAACTCGATGTGCAATACTACTCCCTATTGCCCTTCTGAGGAGTATGCTTACGTAATGAGTGTTATCTGGAAGGGGGAAGCTAGCTATTCAAAGATATCTAAAGGAAAATAAACAGTCTAAATAGCCATCATTTGAATAATGGCTGAATAAGCTTTTCTGTATTGATATAAAGTAAGTTTACTCCTTGGCTTTCATTCTGTTGAGGGGTGGGGTAAAGATAGTATGTCCACATGCAAGATCAGACATGAAATAAATAGAAAATAATTTTTGAGAGGTGGACTAGAATTCTTAACTTTTTTTGTTGTCCTGGACCCCTTTGACGTTCTAGTGAAGCCTGTTGAGTCCTTCTTCTCAAAATACATAGAATTACAAATCGAAACCAATTAAATGGGAATAGTTATCAAGATATAAAATGAACAAAAAAACCCCAAAATCATGGGACCCCAAAATTAAGAACCCCTGAGCCAGGTGGGATTAGTAAAGGCTTCATGAAGAAAGTGATGCTTGAGCTGAGTTTTGAAGGAAGGGAATGGAATTCTGAGAGGGGAATGTGAGGAAGATGAGAATTCCAGGCAGAGTATGTGAGGAGCAATGAGAAAGTCATTTGGTTAGTTGGAAAGGTAGATACTGCAATTATTCCTTTATCTACACTAATATGATCGACCTTTGAATTGGCCCGGATCTCTTACTTCTCAGCTTACATTCTGTGAGGGGAAGTAGCATAGATAACATCATTGTCATCATAGCTAACATTTATATAGCCTCTACTCTGTGCTAGACATTGTCCTGAGAACTTAAAGATATTATCTCATTTGATCCTCACTACACTCCTGCAAGGTAGAAGCTGTTATTAGCCCTATTTAACAGTTAAGAAAACTGAAGCAAACAGATTAAGTGACTTAACCAAGGTCATACAGCTAGTAATTGTCTGAGGCCAGATTTAAACTTGGGTCTTCCTAACTCCTGGGGCAGCTAGGTAGCACGGTGGATAGAATGCCAGACTTGGAGTCAGACACTTACTAGCTGGGTGACCCTGGGCAAATCACTTAACCCTGTTTCTTCATCTGTAAAATGAGCTGGAGAAGGAAATGGCAAACCATTCTAATATTTTTGCCAAGAAAGCCCCAAACAGGGTCATGAAGAGTTGGACACAACTGAAATGACTGAACTTCCTAACTCCAGGCCCAGCATTCTGTCATTTTGTGCCACCTCTCTGCCCCAACATGAAGTATTTACAAAATATACTGGAAATAAATACAAAGTTAGGGAAGCTGCTGTAAAGGGCAATACCCAGTCCCCACTGGACAAATAGTAAACAAATATGAACAATTTATACATTGTGAATAATCACTTAGGTCATAAAGAAGTGCAGATTAAACCAATTTTGAGATTCCACTAAATAACATATAGATTGTTGAAAACTACAAAACTTAACAAAATTCCCCCAGTGAGTAGGATTTTGTTATATTGTTGAGTGGACTACATAATGGTAAACTCTTTATGTAGAGAAATCTGGTATTTCACAATGAAAATTACGAAAGTGGCCATATCATTTTACTTGGTGCAAAAATACCTCAAGAAAAGCTACATAACCAGCATTTGAGTAATGGTTGATTAAACTGTTCTATACTAAAACAATTAATGCAGTACTGTAATACAATTTAAAATTAACTGAGATATATAAACAAGTTTGAAAAGACATGAAACAAATGAAAAGAGAATAGTATAAATGCTGTATAAAAATATGTTCTAAAATATAGATGAAAAATGAAAGGGGAAGTAGAATAATTAATAAATAATTTACATTTCAAATGTAGAAATTTCTTTTTAAAAGATAGTTGTAAATGTATGCTAATTAGGTGGTTTTTTTGTTTGTTTTAATCTTGGCTTTGGTTCTGAGTCTTCATATCTCCAGTGCCCAGCATTGTGCCTTGATTATTAGGTAGTTAATAAATACTTTTTGACTATGCTTTTCTCCCTCCGGACTTAGGAGAGATTTCTTTTGACAAGTTGTTTAGATTAAATTAAGTATTTGAAATATTGTTCGCCGTTTTTTTTTCTATTTGTCTATCCTGTCAAATTAAGATTCACTATATGTGTGACAGAATGAATAATTTTAAAAGGTAATTAGTTGATTTGTGTTCCTCTTTTCTTTCCACTGTAGGAAATAAAAAGACATCTTTAACCTCATTTCTTTCCAAATGATGATTTGGAATAACATTTTATTTTAACAGCAGGAGTTTTAACTCTTACAAAGAGTGTTTACTCTTTTTAGTGTTTCATTTATTTGATTGTTTCATTCAAGAGCTTCCAAAATTTGAGTTTACAATAATAATAATAATAATAATAATGATAGCCAACTTTTATACGGTGCTTACTATGTGCTGAGCACTATGCTAAATGCTTTACAATTAGTATCTCATTTGATCCTCACAACAACCCTGGGGGTTAGGTGCTATATTATCCCCTTTTTACAGATGAAGAAGCTGAGGCAAACAGTGGTTAAGTGACCACCAGCTCAGGATCATACAGCTAGTGAATGTCTGAGGTTGGATTGAACACAGGTATTCCTGACTCCAGGCCCAGTACTCTGTCCATTGCACCACTACCTGCATCCATAGTTTGCTTTTTAGTAGCCCATATTTTAAGAACTGTTTCATCTTATTTCTTTTAAGAACATTTTATTTCAATTTGGCTCTGTAGAAAAAAGAGTTTGGATTTTTTAAAAATCAGAGCATCTCAGAGGCCAACTAGTCCAGCTTAAATGTGTACAAGAAACTAACAAGTATCACCAACAGTTGACACCAGTGGTCATCTTGTCTTTGAAGACACGTGGTGTGGAGGAACCTACTACTTCCCACGGCTGCCCACTCTGCTGTTTTACATTCCGTAGGCACTAATTGTTTCAATTGTATTGCACTGGGTAGATGTTTAATTGAATTTCTTTAATTGTTAGGAATTTAATCCTTATTTAAAAAAAAAACTCATTCTGCCTCTCTATACATTTTCTACTCCTTACTCTTCTCATGCCCCTTTGGGGATAAGCTGGACATGCCTGTTTCCCTCTTGAAGTGCATCTTCATACACTTGAAGACAGCCACTGCTACCCCTTCAAATCTCCTCTTCTCAGGGCTGGATGTCCCTAGTTCATTTAGATGGGAAATTCCCTACAATTTACGATACTAATTTTATTTCTTTGCTCATTTTAGAAATTTAAGATCCGCATTGAGGACCCACCTCGCCGAAAGCACATGGTGTTTCTGGGTGGTGCAGTTCTGGCAGACATCATGAAGGACAAAGACAACTTTTGGATGACCAGACAAGAATACCAGGAAAAGGGTGTTCGTGTGCTGGAGAAACTTGGTGTGACTGTTCGATAAACTCAAAGCTTGTTCTCATCACATCTTTAAAGCTTTCTTTTTTTTCCCTTTATTGCCAATCTTTGAACTCATTCAGCTACATGACATGGAAAAGGCCTCTCTGTGCCCTTTGACTCGAAAGGTCAGGTTTTGTTCTGATTTCTCTGGGAAGCTTTGTTAAATGTTGGTTAATGTGGCTAAATTTGACTATTTAATTTGACCACTTCCCTACAAACAAAACGTGAGAGCTAAGGGGCCTGTCTGTTGCATTGTTCCTTCTCTGTAGGTATTTGGATAATTTCTGTAGGCTTTTTATTTTCAGTTTACTGCTATAATGCTGCTAGCTTTTGTCTTCAGCACACCAGGTGGTTTGCCTTTCTTAGCATAAGAAAAACTTTTACAGCAGCTTTTATATCCCATTACTTTTGTGGGGGAGTTACCTTTGCACCCTTTGTAGCCTTTCTTCCATAGTGTGTAGCTTAAAGCTGTCACTGCTACTACTATAAATACCTTAAAGCCTTCCATGTTAATGTCTTGGGGAAATATCTGCCTGTGAACTAGAATGTTAAAGTTCTTCCCTCCCCCTTCCTCCCAGGGTTAGTGGGGATGTGGGGGTGGGAATGAGTCGAGAGGTATTGTGTTTTGGTTTTTGAGCTGTATATCTTTTCTGTGATTATATAGGGTGAACTTTATTTACATTACTTTATTTTGTAGGCTTTCTATTTTAATTTTGGTATACATTTCCATATGATACAAAAAGCAAGGGTGGAATAATATCTAATCCATTTCCATATGGTTTAACCCTAGCTTAAAAAATTTAAAAACAACTCCAAACCATCACCATCCTGGGACTGGTTCCCTAGAATTTCTCAACTGAAAGATGATTTTAGTAATTCTAAATACGGAGAAAAACATTACTTTAAAAACTGAATTGTAAAATTGGTTATTTTTTAAAGTGCTTTTCTTTATTTCTGAAGCACTCATTAAACTTTTGCGATGGCAGTAACCTGGTGCCAAGTACTGTTCTTAAAAAGTGGAGATTTCCTGTAACTGACCAGTGCTGATATAAATAAAACAGGCAGATACGGTCACTGGCGGTAATGAAGAAGAGATACCTCTTCTTGTTGGATTAAAAAATAGCATTGGGTTATGGGACTTGTTGCCAGTTGATAAATGCTCATTCACAAGTCATTTTTGCTGGTCTTGATTTGATACTGGGAAGGGGGCAGGATGAAATTCAGTTGTTTGAAATGTTTACAAAAAGAAAATCAAGATTAAAAATCTCTAACTATTGAAAAAAATACTTGTAGCTGCTAACTATCATCCATTTTTTATGCTTGAAAAAAGAGTTGCTGTTTTATGTAAATGCATAGCAGGCTGCTGCCTGTGCTACATCATTTGTATAAAACTACACAGTGGTTCTTAGTATTTATTGGAAATATCGAGTAATATCATGCAGACGAAGTTCTTTCCAAATCTGTTGAATAAAGTAACAGGAAATTTTATCACTGAGTAAAAAAAAATGAGGATTTTGAAGACCCAGAGCCTTATTCCGGAAGTAAAATTCCACTAATAGTGATGTTTAAAGAGAGGGGATAAGGGGGACTGGACCTATGATTCCATTGTATGGGGAACTCTCTTAGGTGAGGATCCTGCCTCTATCTATGACAACTTGGGGAGAGTTGCCTAGAGCACTGAGAGGTTTAGTGACTTCTCCAGAATCACACAGATCTATCAGAGGCAGGACATGAACCCCCAGGCCTCCTGGCTTTGAGGCTATATGCCACACTGCCTCTCATTTCTTCCACCAAAAAAAAAAATAATAATTTTTTCCCCCCTCTTTTGGGCTGACTAAAACCAGAAAAATTGACTTAGTCCTATATTTATGAAAACTTAAGCAAAACCTTCTGTTTAAATGAAACAAGTACAAAAAAGAGGTTAGTTATGCAGCTGATATTTTCATAATGATGATTAAATTATGTTTACCCTTAACTTGGAAAAAGACAAACTTGCAGGCATGCTGGATGTGCTTTTCAGTACCTTCACATAGCAGTAGGTAATAAATTTTAGTGGTATTGATATGAAGTATTTTAGATTCCTAAAGTTTTATAAATGGACTTCATTAGGGTAGAATACTCATATAAATACTGCATTGTCTTGAGCACTGGCCATGGCAGAGGATCCACGTTTAGGAGAAGTACTGGTTGCTATTTTCAACATTAATGGAATAACTCTTTTGATCTTTGGACAGTAGTGTATCCATGGAATAAATAAAAAAACAAAATGAATATTCTTTTAAAAAAATTGTTCCTTTGAATTTTGAATTGAAAATTTTCATCATAATACTTTAAATTAAAATAATACTCAATGAGTAATCCCTATCTACATATATTATATAATCCCATTTTAAAATCTGCTTCTTGTGAGTTGAATGAGTACACTTAGAAATGTCTTTTTGGGTGTCTCTGTTTAATTGATGTTTTTGTTGTGTCAGATAAGGTTCCCACAGGGAAGTTTCCAACTGCTTCCACAGCTTAAAACGGAATGCTGCTGTGAAAGAGAACTGGTTTTGTCTTCTAAAGACCACAGTCGCTCAAATTTATAATTATGATGCTTTAATTTGATTTTTTTTTATCTAGAATTTGCTTATGTCTTTGACAGTTAAAGGGTTTCTTAGGGTTACATCCTACTTTTAAACATCTATCTGCTTTAAAATCACACCAGACCTAGGTATTTAGGATGTTAACCCACGTAAACTAATAACACAAAAGCGTTATTAGAGTTCTGAGCAATGTTAAAATATCTGGAAAGCCATTTGAGAAACTGTCAATGGATATTTCAATAGAGTTTTGAATTTAATTTGAGCACAGGCCTTTTTTATTAAAAAATAAAATCAAATTTTTCAGAGTTCGTTTGGTTTTAGTCTTATCTTTTGATAATTGTGTTTGATTGATTGCATTTTGTTTCATGTTCATTCATGTTTTGTTTTGCTATATTGTGATGAGTTGAGAACCTTTAAGAAGTATGTTATGAAAAGGACTAGACTAAGTTTTCCTGTGACTGCCACTTTCCCACTTGTCCAAACCAAGGGAGTGAAAATTTTAACCAAGGTAGACTATGAAGATTATCAAAGTGCAGATAAATATTAATCTTCTACAAAGCTTGGATGACATACCTATTTTCAAGGTTTGTTGGCTTTCATAAAGGCCCTGACAGTTCAGGCTTTAGAATGAACTGAATTGAGAATGACTAAAGCAGCCTTGAATATATCATGTATAACTAAACAGCCACATGATACTCCCAATTAGGATTTAGTCAGGATTGGGGATGGTGGTGGTAAATGTATGTTTTCCTTTTATTTCTCCATATTTAACCATCAGCCACTCCAATAATGTTCTCTCCTCCATCTTTAAATTCCTTGACCTTCTGTTGTTTCCACCCTATGATTCTCAGCCTTGGTTGAATTCTGCTGTGCCTTCTCCTATCCCCAAGCAAATCACAAAGTCCTGCTAATGGAATCTACTACAAATGTATATTCTCTGTAATCAACAGGGTTCTCCTACATTGCAATTTTTTTATTCACTTCCTTTGGACTCTATAATATACTTTCTTATCATGCACTTTCTCTGTTACCTTCAGATTCCCCCCAGAGCCTTCTTTTACATTGAGCAGACAATCCAGCCTCCTGAGATGTTGAAGACATCTCAGATGAACTTCAGCTCCACTGCTGTACCTGTGTCTACAACCCATCTTCATCCTTCCGTCTAGTTTAACACGTTGATGTACTGATTGCTGAAGCTAACCCCACCACCAGTTTCCTGATACTAATTCCCCTCTCATCTCTGTGGCCTTGTTTTAGCAACTGTCACTTTTTTTCGTGAATCTTCAGTTTCTCTCTTTCTACCCTTAGCTCTTTCACATATTTTGTCTGGTCTTTACCATGCTTAGAAAACCTTACTTGACCCTTCTGTCTCTTTAAGCTCTTATCTTAGCTCTTTACCCTTTAGTGCCAAGCTTTGAGAAATGATAGTTAATACTTCTGCCTCCATTATCTTACCACCTGCTTAGCTCATTGCATTCTTACTTCTGTTCCTGCCACTATCACTAAAATCTAGTAGCTTTCTGTCCTCATCATTCCTGACTGCTGTGGCATTTGACAGAGTGATCACTCCCTCTTTTTTTGATACTTTTCCCCTTTTGAGTTCTCTTATGGTTATCTTACTTGTCTGGCCACGTCTTATCTTTTTTATTGATTTCTCATTTCCCCTCTTTTTTTAAAATCACAATTGTGCGTTTCCTCTCTCCTCTAGGAGTCTGTTCTTGTCTGTATTTTCTTCTCTTTTTTTCCACACCTGTGACTTCATTTATCCCTTTATGACTTCTATATGCATCATTTTCTCTCAGCTTCTCCACTCCTTTTCCCAGAGAGCTATCCCAGATAAAGTGTTTTTTAAGACAAAAGAGGAAAAATCTCCTTAACTGATTAATACTGCCAAAAAAAAAATCTGAAAACTTGCAATGTGAAATACTTTTGGACCTCCCATCTCTGCAAAGGAGTAAGTTGGGAGTGTTTTTTCATGTCTGTTCTTTTGAACCATGATTGTTCTATATAATTTTTTTTGTGTGTATGAATGTGGTTATTCTTTCTATTTACCCTGTTGCAGTCATTGTATATATTGTTTTCTTAGGTCTGCTTATTTATGCTGCATTAGTTCCCATTGATCTTTCCATGATTCTTTGTATTCATCCCATTAGTCATTTCCTTCTGCATAATAATATTTTATGAACTACGATTTATTTAGCTGTTCTCCAGTTGATGAGTATTTGTGTTTTTTCCACTTCTTTGACATCACAGAACAGTGCTGCTGTATTTTTGCATATATTGATAACTTTCTAATCAGTGACTTCCTTGGAGTATAATCCCAGTAATGGAATCTCCAGGTCAAAGGGTATGGACATTTTAGTCATTTCATTTGCATAATTCCAAATTGCTCTCCAGCTGATTGACAGCTCTAGCAACAATGTGCCGGTTTGCTTATCTTCCCACAACTCTTCTAACATTGCCCAATTCTAGCATCCTGCTGGAATTATTTCTAATGTGTCACCTGCTATGTCAAACTTAATATGTTCAAAACTCAACCTGTCTTTCCCCTACCATCTCTTTCCTGTTATTGATGGTGCCATCATTGTCAACCAGGCTTCTAACAATTCTGAATTATAATTGTCCTTCGATGCAGCTAGGTGGTGCAGTGGATAGAGTGCTGATAGAAGACCCGTGTTCAGATTCAGCCTCAGATAGTCTCTAAGTGTGTAACCCTAGGTAAGTCACCTAACTGTAAAATGAGGATAATAGCACTTACCTTCCAAGATTGTTGTGAGGATCAAATGAGATATTTGTAAAGCATTTAGTACAGTGCCTAATACATAGTATGCATTTAATAAATGCTTGTTCCCTTCCCTTACCTCCTCCCTCTTTCTTTTGCCTCACCACATACATCTAGTCAGTTGTCGAATTTTGCTAATTCTACCTTTAAATTCTGTCCCATTGCCATAGCCTCCTACCTACTCCTGCAGCCTCTAGTCAACGCCTTCTCCAGTGCATTCTTCACATTTTTGCCTGAATAACCTGAATGTGATCAGTCAACTCTTCAGCAGTTTCCTGATCCCTAGTCTTAGCATCTAAAGGCCCTCCACAATCCGTCCGCAGCCTGCCTTTCCAATTTCTATCTCCTACTGTTCACCTTCACATATTCTACAGTCTAGCCAAACTGGTCTATTCTCTTTCTGGTTCTTTGTCTGTCCTTTCCTGCCTGTAATGTATTATCCCATCTCTTCTCCCAAATGTGTTACAGTCCCTTTCTTCCTTCAGATCCTAGGTCAGGTGCCACTTTTCTTCCACAAAGCCTTCTCTGACGGCCTCCCCCAGCCTCCATGTGACAAGGACTCCCAGATTTTTCCTAATACTTTGCTGAGGCCTTTCTTTGCACTCATCTCATTCTCCCTTGTCACATTTTTATGTCTTTCTTCCCAGAAGACTGAAAGCAATCTGTCTTACCTACCTTTATATCCTCCATGCTTAGGGCAGTGCCTTATTCCTCATAATTTTAATAAATGTTTGTTGTATTGGAGGAATAAGGATTTCTAGATAGTAGAAAGGGGCAAGGTCTTGAAAAACAGCAGGATAAAAGGAGAGAGAGAGTACTGATAGGGTTGGGTCTTGTTCTGACAGTCACCATAAAGCCTTCATAGTATGCTATTGCCAGTTCTCGGGTTTTTACATGGGATATATTTATGGGGATATCATTCTAGTTTGCTTGTATAACAGTAAAGGCATTGTCTGAAATGTGATAGTAGTATATTGTCAATAGACTGTTCTTCATGTTTTTATTAAGCACCTATTGCATGTCAAACCCTGTTGCCCTCCTCCCTCAACCCACCAAACTCTAATTTTTCACCACTATTTGAGTATATTTAATAAGTAACATTCTGAGTCCAGAGCCTTAGAAGGAACAGATTCTGCTCTAAAAGCAGCAGAGTGATACATTCAAATTAACAAGCATTTGTTAAGTGCCTGGTATGTATTAGGGTATACAAAGATAACTGTCCCTACTCTCAAGGAGCTTACATTCTTTCCAGAGAGACAATGTATGTATAAATATAATGTATATATAAAATAAATAAATAATGTATATGTAAAATAAAATAAAATAATGTATATATAAAATAAACG